ATTATGAAAATTAGCGGGGAAAGTGGACACCCTTGACGCATTCCTTTCTGGATTTGTATTTTTTCAGCTGTTTGTCCATTTATGCATATGTTGGCTTCTTGTTCTTTGTAAATCGTCTTAACCGCATTTATAAAATGGTAACCCATGTCTAGTTCTTGCATTACCACCAGAAAAAATTCCCAGTTAACTTTATCAAAAGCCTTCTCCGCGTCAATTGCCAGAAGGGCACATTCTTTGTCAATATTTTTTTCATAGTACTCTATTACGTTGATGATATTTCTGACGTTGTCCCTAATTTGGCGGTTGGGCAGGAATCCTGATTGTTCTTCCCGAATCCAGTTCCTTAAGAATTGTTTTAATCTTTCTGCTAGCACGGCTGCATATATTTTGTAATCTACGTTTAATAACGAGATGGGGCGGTAATTCTTAACATCAGTACTGTCAGAGTTTTCTTTATGTATCATTATGATCGTAGCTTGTTTCCAGGTATTGGGGATTTTTTGCATTTCAAAGGCTTGGTTTATCAATTTCCTAATTTTTGGGGTCAGTTCTTTTTCATATGTTTTGTAAAAAGCTGCCAGGAATCCATCTGGGCCTGGCGATTTAGTGGCGTCCAGTATGGAAATGGCCGTTTTTATTTCATGGTCCGTAACTTCTTTATTTAGGTATTCTCTTTGCTCCTCAGTTATTTTCTGTAGCTTTTGTCTTCCTAAGTATTGCATAATTTCTTCTATTTGTGCCTGATCTTTCGAGTATAATTCTTTATAGAATTTGTTGAATTGACTTATTATTTCTTTGTCTTTGTTATATTCTGTATTATTTGATATGATTTTAGTGATAAATTGCTTTTGTTTCTTTTTCCCGATTCTTCTAGCCAGCCAAGGTCCAACCTTATTAGCATTTTGAAAGTAGTTCTGTTTCGCGTATTTAATTTTCTTTGCGAGCTGTTCCGTTTCTAGCTCAATCCTCTGTCTGTGGAGTATCTCCAGTTCTTTTTTGATCTTGTTGTCTCCAGAGTCTTGCTTAAGTTTGTTTTCTGCTACTTCCAGGTTTTGTAATATTTTTTGCATTCGCTCCCTCCGTTTTCTATTTCTTATTGCATTCTGTTGTATGCAGATACCTCTTATTACCGCTTTCCCAGTGTCCCATACCGTTTGAATGCTGACGTCGCCTGTTTCGTTACTCTCGAAATAATTCTGTATTTGTGTCCTGATTAGTTGTTGGGTTTCCTGGTCCTTGAGTAGATTCTCATTAAGTCTCCAATTTCCTTGTTTTCTCCTATAGTTGTAGGTTGTTTCTATGGTGCTGTGGTCCGAATCTAGTCTTGTAAGAATATTAATTTTTCCTATTTTTGAGATAAGTGATTTTGTGGTCCATACCATGTCAATCCTTGTCCAACTCTTGTGGCGAGGAGAGAAAAAAGTGTAATCTCTTTCTCCGCGGTGATGTTCTCTCCAAGCATCTTGAAGGCTGAGTTCTTCCAACAAGTTGGTTACAGTTTTAGGTAGGATGTTTGCCTTTTGATTGTTCTTATTGGAGTTGGTCTTCCTATCCCACTGACTGTTTATTATGCCATTGAAGTCTCCCATGATGATTAGATGATCGTATTCTTGTTGTTGTAGGAAGTGTTTTAATTTTTGTGTAAAAGAAGTCTTCGGACCATTTGGCATGTATATATTGCATATCAGTATTTTTTTCCTTATCTACTGCTATTGTGACTCCTACTAGTCTGCCCTCCTCATCTCGGAATGTTAGTTGTGGATTTAGGTTTGGATTTATGTATAGCACCACCCCTTTTTTCTTTTCTGGTGCTAGCGAGAAGAATTCGTTCCCTAGTTTTTTTTTGATTAAGTGCATTGAATGTCTCTGGGCGATATGTGCTTCTTGAATCGCAATTATGTCATATTGTTTTTGGCCTAGTCTATGAAAGATCCTCCTCCTCTTGCTCGGTGAGTTCAGTCCATTCACGTTCTGGGAGTAGCAGTTAATTGTTCTTTCCATCATTGTCTTGTATTTCTGGGATTTTTCCCATTGCTGTTGGAATGAAGCCAGTTACTATGTCTGTTTTTTCCGGTGACTCTGTCCTTGACCTTTTAACTTGCATCATCATACCTGGGACGTATTGGAAATCGTGGTCTTCCTTGTCTTTTTTCAGTTTCTTTAGAAAGTCCTGTGCTTTCTCTTCTGATGTAACCCATATTTTTTCATTTTTATACGTGGCCATCAGTCCTTCCTCTTTCTCCCAACGATATCTGATGTGACGTCTCCTTAGTTCTTCCGTTAGCATAAGATACTTTCTTCTTCTTTGTATGATTGATTGCGCGTGTTCCTTTACGATGGTTATTTTCTTTCCTTGGAAGTATGGTGGGTTTTTGCTGCTCTTTCTTAAAACTTCATCCCTTACATATTTTGGTCCAAATTGGACGACCACGTCTCTGTCAACGTTGTGCCTTTTAGCATAATTTTAGCGTAGTTTTATTGTGTTTATATGTATTTTATCTCTATTTGTGTATTTGATTTATGGCATTTTATTTGATTCTGTA